CCCCTGCGGCGCGGGCCCGCCCCCCCCTGCGCGGCGCTGGGCTGGGGCGGGGGCCGTCGCCCAAGGCCCACCCCTCCTCTTCCAGCCGCGATGCTGATTGGTTCTTTCCGCCGCGGGAGGCAGGGCTCGGAGGGAGCTACCCACTGCGGACGTGCGAGCAGCGTGCGCTACGGTGCGAGGGCGGGGCTGCTCTCTTCCAGACTTTAATCTTCCTTTTCTGAAAGGCTTTCCTGTCTGCTTTGGAGGCTGAGGGAATTTCTGAACGGAACCCCCGCAGTATGTCTGTTTTAGAAAATCACTTCCCCCCGTCCCTGAGAAATCAGCTGGTGGCCGTTCTTTGCACATTGTCCTGTCCCGGAAATGCTAGAGAGCCGCAGGGCAATAAATTCATGAAAACATCCGAGCCCCGCCTCCCTTATAAATTGAACTTCCTACTTGTTCTCAGCTTCAAAACAAAACTTCTTCGTTAAACACACTACTGGTTTAGTATGTAAGGCAAAAATTAGCTTCCTTATTCTCAAAGCCAGAAATCTTTGCAAATATGGAAACATGTTGTATGCATATACAAAATACATGGAAAATATGCATTAAAAACAGCATGCACAAACTTGCCACCCAGTTCAAAATAGGTTGCTTTAAATACACAGGTTAGAAGGGAACCTGGCAAGATACAATTAAAAGTGAAATTGCTATCTAATTTCCTAGCTTTTATTACATGTTTCAAACTGCTGAAACAAGGTTACAATTGTAGGAATGGGCATGGGAGCTGAATCTGATAGTGAACCTGAGTATGTGGAAGTTGAACCTGCATATGAAGACATGTGTGGTGGGCTGGCATGAGAATGTGTGGCATCTGTGATAGAAACGATACTCAGTATTCTTGTCAAGAGTGATGTATTCGTTCCCAATGACGTGCCTATGCAATTTTTAAAGATAATTATGTGCTTTATGGCTTTCTTGCAACCCCCTTGCTTTTGTAATCTTTAATCTTTAAATAGAATTATATTATTTAGTGATTTCATTGTATCCTTGAAGATAAAAATAATTGTACGATTTGTGATTTCCTTGATCCTATAGCAGAGGTGGAAGAGACCAGCTG